ATGGCTACTGGCTATAAATATGTCTGGCACACTCCACTCCTCTACTCCTCTGATGACTCATACTCCTATGTAGGTTTGTGAACAAAATAAACTGTTTACTGTTTTAGTTATAAAGTCATTACAAAGTATGTAATAACTTACAATGAAATTATTTAAAGTTTACTCTGACAAACTCTGAACAAATCTTGAAAAGCAGTGGGTCATCCTTATATATATTTGATTTAGGACTTTATTGAAAGCCACCGAAAGTGCAGACACATGTACAGACTAGTGTCTACGATCTGGTGCTAACAAAAGTAGAATTCTCAGGGAGACATACTTTTTAGCTAAGGCAAAGAAATGTAGAAATTTGTGAACGAATAATAAGAGAGAGGGGAGTTTGTCTAAAATGAAATGGAGATCCAGAAGTCACATAAGAGCAGGTCCAACGGAAGTAGCCCCAGTCATATCATAATATAGAGGAGTCCAGTGAGAGTATAAACAGAAGATTATGAATTTTGGGAGGAGGCCAAATATGAAAGGGAAATCATGCGTGGCTTAATTACTGTAATTAGTTTTTAAGTTTTGACTTTGCCTCTGTTGTAAAATATTTTCTGTGCCAGCACTGATTCTATTTTTCTCCAGGAGCTTCTGAGTGGGAAGAGGACTAATAGGTGTTTGGGCTCCTTTGTAAACTTCCAGTATAATGTAGATATGTAATGGCTGTGAGACAGTTGGCCTATCATCTTAATACATCTCTCAAAGTTATTTCCTCCACCCTGCTCCCCCAGCAAAATCTTTGGTTTGGTTTTCAAACTTCAAATCAATAAATTAAAGTTGGGTGTTTAGTTTCCACATTAATGCTATTTATATTTTTATACTTAATATGTAATCCGTGCTAGTTTTTAGAGTTTATTAGCAGCACTGGCTTCAAAGCAAATTTTCCTTTGCATTTTTTTGCAAATTTTCCAAAGCAAATTTAATAAGGGGATACTATATAAAATTATTATTTTTATAATTTTTTTTTCCTTATGCAAGGAATGATATTAAAATCTGGCTAGGGGATTCAAGAGGCAAATAAGGAATAATCTCATTTGTTATAACTGAGCTTGAGAGAAATTTTATAGATAATCAAGAAGGTAGGGGAAAATTTTTACAAGCCCCATCTGCATGTAGACAATATACAGTTTGTTCTGGTTTCATGTTACTAATTCTGTTGAACAATTACCCATCTTCAACAAAACAGGAGCATATTCCTCTTATTCTTTTTGTTGCTTCCTTGCATCTCATGCTCTGCCTCCTGAAATGGCTGGCATGTACACATTTCAGTGACATAGAATTCTTCATTAATTGGCTAGTCTGAAAGCAGATCACTGTAGTTAGAATGACACTGGCTTTTGCATTTGCTTTGGAAGGAAGTCACCAAGTCTCAAAGTGCTTCCTGAGATGGCTTCTATTATTTTTGTAGATCATTATTTCTATTTGCTCTAGTTTTGGTAGAGTGACAATGTATTGAACATTGGAAAAGTTATACTCTATTATAAAAACAAAAACAAAATAACTACTGGTAAAGTATAACAGGAAAATAGGCATACCTTTTGTTTTTTAAAAAATATTTAATAGGTAATTATAGAAGTGGTAAAAAAAAAAAAATCACCACTGACTATTACATGTTATAGAAGTAGTTTGTTTTTAACATTCCCATAAAGGATAGGCAAGATAGAACTGCAATGTAAATCTATGTTAGACTAGTATTTATTCACTAATGGTCAGTTATAGAGCTTTATAAGATGAATTATTTGATCCTGGCTACTATATTATTTTTGCCACAATACAGAAATAAAATAGCATAAAAACATTCCTAGATACACACTTTCCCAAAACTATTGGGATTTTATGAATCTTCAGCTCTCCTTTTAAAAACTTGTTTCCTTAGATATAAAATTACTAATTTTCGTTTTTGGAGCACAGGAAATTTTAAGTAGATTTTGCTTTCGTAGTAAGTCATTCTTGGCTTTTCATATTTGGCTGTAAAAGGAAATATAAAAATGAGGCCAAGTTAATAAATTAGTGAATTCTGAATTTATTTCACTTGAAGATCTTTTTGGAATGAATGTCATCTAGGATTCATAAAACACTGCTTATCTTTTTAGGCACAGAAGTGAATTTGTGTATTTTCCTATAATTCCACATTAGAGGCAGAAGCAGGATTCGTGTATATGTACAGTAGATATATTTGTTTGCAGGAATTTACTTGTACATCTATTAATAAATTACCATTTCAGTGTACCAGCTGGTAACTGATTTTCAAAAATGTTGTGGCTTTGCTTTATATATTTAAAAAACATGCCTAAAGCAAAAAATGTCATATGTTGCTCTAAGCTCCACAACCACATTTCCTCCCAAACCCTGAATTCTCGTATTCACAAAGGTAAACAATGCAGTAAATTTAGTAACAACAAATTAATCTTTGGAATAATAATAATAATCTTTTTAATTCTCTTCTCCATTGTAGTTATGAGCAGTTTTTTAATTTCATGCTCTATGTAGAAATGTAGAGAAAAATAAAAAATCAAAAGAACCTAATTATAAAAACTTAAATGGAAAAAAATGCCTATTTAAGAGTCTCATCCCTGCCCTTTCCTGGTGCATACTGGTTCTCACTTCTCTCTTGCTGTTCAGCATTATCAGTTAACAGCTCCCTTTGCCTCCATTTGCTTTGAAGACACCCACTTCCAGTTTCATTTTATTTAATGGAGGTTAGTGATATACAGAGGATTATACGAAATGTCACAGCCACATTTTGTAGTTTTAGTTTTTAATGTCACATTGCCACCAGAACCCACACTTTCTTTGTAAGAATGAAATCCATATTTCATATATTTATTTCAAGATATTATTTTTCAATACACAGCTTTATGTAATTAGCAAATCTTGAAACTTAGAAGACAAAATAAGAGATTCCACAAATCAAATGTAAGATTTTAAGGGATGACTTGATTTTTACAGAGAATGCTTCTTAGTAGTTACAAAAAACCATACATTTTAGAAGTACTATTCTTGTAGCCAATAATGATTGGGAGCTCATGTGATAACGAGAATTGAATTTGAAAATGGGGATTGCATTATATTCATTCCAAAGTATTTTTAGGCCTTTCTTTAGGAGGTTATTCTCTACACGGTCAACATTTTAAAATAGATTTAAAACAATTTGTTTAGATTTACTAGATATTATAGAAAGAAAAAGTCCCCTAGAAACTTATAAGGGAGTCCGTCATGTTTCTATTTAAAAAAAAAAATCAGTTGACTTTATATCCATCAATAATTTTGAAGAAGAGAATGGTACAATGGGAAAACCAAACTAATCTATAAGCTTTGGAGCACTAATGTATTTATTTGGGGAGTAAAGAATTGATGGAGAAGATTTGTTTATTTAGCTGAAAGGAATCCCTTCTTGCAAATCTCTCAGTTATCTATCTATCTATCTATCTATCAATCAATCATCTACCTACCTACCTAAAGATATGGTATAGGTGTAAGCAGTTTTTATAAATTGTTGTTGGTATCACTACAATTATTACAGAGAGTGTTAGAAGTGAAACCCTTTGAGTTTTTAACATTTCTCAGGAGTTAGTGGGAAATCCATGAACACACATTTTTAATCTAAGTTATCAACATCTTGGACTCCAAACTTTTTTTTTTAAAGCATTGAATTATCAGTTCCAAAGTTGTAATGAATCAAGCAGCACTGGAAATTTAATTGCAGAGCAGTGTGCCTTTAGTTTCAGCAGATATTAAGACATTCCACAAGCCATCATCAGATATTTTCAACAGTTTTGTACTCAGTCTACTCTGCTCAGCAACCCTTTGGGAACTATCCCAAGGAACTTTACTGGGCAAGTGCACCAATCCCTAAAAGATTTAACTATTTCATAGTTTGATCCCCTGAGACACTCTAACAAAGGAAACAGAAAATTTAACGAAGAAATAAATAGTTTAAGGATGAAAATATTCTAGGTGTTTGTACTAAGAGTTTGCCACTGTGCTGCAGCATCATTTAAGAACTGAAGTTCCTCCACCTCTCCTTTCTAAGGGCCAAGAGTTACTTTGTTGTTTTAAGTCACCCCATTAAGTAAGACTATTACTGAAGAACTCAGAAGTACACACTATCTCAAAATCTTTTCAAGTGGCAATTCACAGAGTTGTTTCTGTATCTTATTGCATTTAGACGCAGCAATCAATTTAACGCTACAGTTGTTTGGCTACTATTCACCTTCATTCTGTGCACAGATGCCTGGAACCACAGGAATCTCACCTCCGCTGAGTAACAAATAGCAAGAACCAGTGCCCAGTTCCTTCGGAGACCTGTTGGGCGTCATCCTGACCAGAAATTTCATAATATGCCTGCAAATTAGGCGTGGTGATTCCGGAATCTTCTCTTTCTCTCACTATGCGGTGGAGCTGGGCGCGAGTCTCCAGGGCTCCCAGTAATCAGTCTGCATGCAGCGTAACTGCGCAGCATTTAAAAGTTTGGGCTCCTACAGACACCCACGTCAACAGTCACTGATGTCTGGTCCTCAGTCTTCAGGTTTTCCTTAGTAGGAGCCTAATGCCTGAAATGGGGGTTTGGGGAGGGCGCTCCTTCAAAGTCAGCGAGGCAAACTGCCTGCCCCACCTCCGCCCGCAGCTTCACCAGTGTGAAGACTCTAGGCACAATGACCTGATGCACCCGCTTGTTCTCGGACTTCACCTTCACTTACCGCCAGAAAACCAAGAAAAGTTAAAGGACGCTTGGAAACTTCACATTTCGCTCCGAAATCTCGCTGGAAATCCATTTGTTCCACCTTTCCTCATTTGGTTTCACAATGAGTCAAGGGAGGGATCCAGTTAGAAAAAAAAGAAAAGGAAAATGCATTCCCGTCTTGCTGGAAGTGGAGTAGCTCAGGAGGGCTTTTGGGCTTTCTGCTGCTCCACCTTTGCAGCCTCCATTTACCTAAGTTGGGGTGGGGAACTGGGGAGAAAAAGAAAAGTCCTTTGGCTGCGATTACACCCAAGGTCAGTCTCCCGTAGCTGCCTGCAGGTATCGGGCGATGGCGTGGTGGCCACGCTCCTCAGCCAGGTCCACCGGCAAGCGGTCCCAGGCGTCTCGCACATCCAGGCGCGCGCCCGCCTGGCGCAGCGCCACCAGCGTGTCCAGGAAGCCCTCCCGGGCAGCGTCGTGCACGGGTCGGGTGAGGGTGGCCGGGTCGGCGCAGTTGGGATCCGCACCGTGGAGCAGCAGCAGCTCGGCCACGCGGACGCTGCCCATCATCATGACCTGGCAGAGAGAGAGAGCGATTGGAGTGCTCAAGGTTTGGGTGGGGGCAGCAAGAAATAGGCGTAGGCAGGGTCTGAGCCATTTTAAAGAAGGACCTGTTCCTGGAGTGCCCACCTATTCAGGGGAACCCGAAAGCTTCACGAGTGTGGTGGTTTCCTTCACTGATGCAGTATCAGTGCCTCTTCTTGGCCCTCATTGTATAATTGTATACTCTACTCGCCCCAATTGTATAGTTCTATTTTAACCCCAAATGTGCAGAGACAAGAAAGACCTGGTGATAAAATTCTAATTGTTATTGTGGGTGGGTGAGGTTATTTCTATTGAAACATGGAAATCATTTTTTGTTTATTAGCGATAGTATTTAAAGGCTTTTAAAGTCTTACATTATTTTGCTTGCTCCCTCCCCCCATTAATCCCAGATTAGAAAAATTTAATAGGCAGTCAGCTGATTTTTTTCAAAAGTTAAGAGTAATACTTTAGAGGAGAAAATAAGAAAAAGCTAAGCTTAAGAAAAGGTTTACTTCGCTTAGTTCTCAGAGTAAGTCACTGTGGAAAGTTTTTGCTTTTTACTATCATGTGGTTCCTGGTAAACGGAATATAGTCTAATAATCTGAGCCACAATTGGAGGCAGAGAAAAAGAGTAAATAGTCACTAATAGCATTATAAGGTGAAACATGATTTGTTTTTAATGAATAGTTCACCATTTTTGAGATTTTAAGTTAATGTTATAGGTAAGGGTTAAAGTTTATGGGGTGATATATTTAATGTCATATAAATATTATATTTACATTGTACATGTTAAATAGTAAATATTTTAATATACAAAAAAAGAGCTTGGATGTTAGTCAAATCAGAGCAGTATTCCTGGTAAACGGAATATGGTCTAATAATCTGAGCCACAATTGGAGGCAGAGAGAAAGAGTAAATACAGTCACTAATAGCATTATAAGGTGAAACGTGATTTGTTTTTAATGAATAGTTCACCATTTTTAAGATTTTAAGTTAATGTTATAGGTAAGGGTTAAAGTTTATGGGGTGATATATTTAATGTCATGTAAATATTATATTTACATTGTACATGTTAAATAGTAAATATTTTAATATACAAAAAAAGAGCTTGGATGTTAGTCAAATCAGAGCAACTTAGAAAAAGGATGCTTTGGAGCAGTAATCCTATAGCTTCTGTTTGTATGCATGTATATTATGCAAGCATTTACTTTCTTATCTTAAAAATAAAACATTTTTCAATAACTGAATGTCCAAAATGGCGTTATTTGTTCTTGTGAGTTTATGTGTTTTAAAATGTACCATGTAATTAAAATACAATATTTTTCCTAATATGTATGAAACATCTATTTCTTCTCTGAAAAGTCATGATATGTTATTTCCACAACTGATATAAGGGGTACTTCATATATACAGGAAAGTAGTTCTTAACATCTCAGAAAATGGTGAATTAAAATTATAAATACAACTTTTTACAACCGATATAATGTGAGATCCTTAAGAGTCATTTAACTCTATTTTTCTCATTTTCAACTATCCGTCATTTCTTAAAACAATTTTCTAAAAATTGAAAAGGAATGAACATATACTTTCCTTATATTCTACACATCAACAAGATTCCTTAATAATAGCTTGACTCTGGAAGGAGTCTTATGGCCATAACAGTTAACAGTAAGACATAAAAAAACAATACCTGGTATTGTAAAAGAATTAAAAAATATATCTGTACTAACTGGAGTGGGGTTAATAGTTAAACATATTGAATGCATGTATTTTAACACTGCAGAGGCTAATTATGAAGATCCTTCATCATTTAAAAAGACCTAAAGTTGCTGCAGGGACGCTTTTATAATCCAAGCATTCAGTGTAATTAAACAATAAAAATCTATAGCATATTTTTCCTTGTGTAACAATCAAGAGATTACTAACATAAAAGGAACTAAATACTTCTGCTGAGGTATCCTGTTTTATGTCTTTGCATTCAATTCGCCTTTATGAGGAAAGAATACAGAGACTTTTGTATAGCAGCTTTAACATTCACGGTGATTTGTGTGTGTGTGTGTGCGTGTGTGTGTGTGTGTGTGTGTGTGTGCGCGCGCGCTATGGATTTGTCTGAGTCCTTAAACCCAACCCGGATTGTGCAACATGTAAGCTAATTATCTCTATCGTCGAAAGTAGACAAAGAGGCAAGACAAAAACATTTTTTCTCAATAACCTCTCTTTTCCTTCTTTCGTCTTCAACTGAATCTAACTTTTGCATCTCTGATCAAGAGAGAGAGAGAAACTACAGGCGTCTCCCTCGCCCCCAGTAAGAGGAAAACCACAATGTCAACCAGTGCGCTTGACAATCTCTTTCATTAGAGTTTTTGGTAGGTGAAAACCTGTTTCTGTTTCATCACCACATCTCCAGCGAGGGTCCCCCAAGCTGGCTCTCTCCGTACCAGCCGAGACCGACCCAGGCCGCACCCCGCGACGTGCGCCCCCTGCCGGCGAGGCCCCGGCGCCCCTGGTACCTGTATGGGGCGCCTCCCGAAACGGTTGACTCGGTTGGGATCCGCACCGGCTTCCAGGAGCTGTCTCACGGTCTCCACTTGCCCGCGCGCGGCGGCACTGGACAGGCCCCCATCGCCGGCGCCATCAGCGAGCATGACCTTGCTCTCCTCGCGCATTCCGCAGTCCCCAGACGCAAACTGGACTGAACAATCCACCTCGGCCCCGTGTTTTGCAAGATCCTCTTTCCCCACTTTGCATGGGGCGCTCACCCTTCAGCGGGGAGAGCTCAGAGCCCAGCTCCGCTCCGGTCCTCTTGGTTCTCCTGCGGCTGGAGGGCCGGTGAGGTGGCCCAAGAGTTGGTGGTAAAAATGGACTTTTCCTGGCAGCGCGAAGCAGAGGACGCGCCGGCTCGCTCCCGGGTAGGGTTGCAACCCAGTGCAGCCGCTGCTCCTCCCGCGGAAGAGTGCCGGGTGCTGCAGAGTGCTCCCTGCAGAGTGCTCCCTGCAGCGTCCTCACTGCAGAGTTACTGCTCTCGAGAGTGGAGAGTCGGCGGGAGTGAAGCAGTTTTCAGCTGGGCTGTCCGGCTGAGCTCTCCCCACCCCCTTAGGCACCGCCCCTGGTTGCAGGCTTGTGCGGGCACGTCCCGTTGTAGGGGCGGGGAAGGCCAAACCCGCAGTAACGTCACAGGACCGGGGAGCAGGGGGTGGGGAGCCAGCCCACACGGTGCTAGGACGCATGCGTCAACCCCCAGGCAAGCTACACCCGGGTTTGCTGAGCGTCCAGCAAAGCGTAAGTTTTGGAATATTGAATCAATGCACTCGGTCTGAATTCCCTCCCTCCAGCAGGCGGAGCAGAGGACTTCTATTCCTTCAGCCCCCGGGCCAACTGGTTTCACTCTGGAGGCGTTAGTCGTCCCCTGTGTATTCAAATGACTAAGAGAAAGGCATTTAAAATAACTCCGTGTCCCTTTAGATGTCTGAAACTGACAGCGCTGCACCTGTCATGCAGGTTAAATTCATCCCCAGGCGGTACGTGAACTTCATTAGTTTCACATCTTGGGTGTGTCTTCCTATTTGAATCAGTCAAAATCAGTCTCAGTGAAAAATCTTGAGAATCCTGTTTTGGTTGTGCTTTTTACTCTTTTCATTTTTGGATTATGTTTATGATTAATATGGCAACCTGGTATATGTAAGATTTTACATATATTAAATCTGAGATCCCAGTTTCGTGACACTTTGTAGAGTATATTTTTGTTTGCACTCTTACCTATTTAAGCCCATCTCGACATGTATTTAACTTTTATTTATCATGAATAATAAAGGACATTTATGCAGCAATAATGAAACATAATAAAACGGGGTGTGGTGCTAGGCCTGTCATTAAACAGGCTGAACCTGTCATTAAATACTCTTCTGAAGATTTAAAGGCCAAGTGCTTCTCTTTCTTCCTAATCTTTGGAGGTGAGTTTGAATTAACATGTTTGTTGTTTTAAAGATTTAAAATTACAACTGATGCTCCGTTGAAATAATAGGAAGAGAACTATAAGTTAGATATTTGTTCCTGAAACATTTGGTGAGGAATAATGAGAGTGGACCTCTCCTAACACTGAATGGTTCTTATTTACAAAATCATTTTTGGTTCAGTGTGCTGAAGAAGCCAGTCTTTAAGGGAGGGCAATTGTTCTCACTCACAAACGAGAGTCTTCACATGTTTCTTCTCGCTAATTTGACTTGGCCATTCTCACCCCCACCCCACACTGTAGCATGAGGAAGAGTTCTTTATAGGCAGTAGAGTCCATGAAAGTGTGGTTAGAGCTGAGGATCTACTGACTAAACTTTAGCAAAGTTGAAATACACCTGTATGGGGGGAGGGAAGGAGGCAACATTAAGAAGATCTTTTTTCTCTCTCACACTCACCTCTGTTTCTTGGTTTGTAGCTTCTTCATTCCTCTACCTTTCACTCTTACTTGAACTTTCACTTTTATCCTTTTATTTGTTGATGCTGGCTCAATACCTTGGTCTTGCCAGAAGAATGTGTGTCTACTTTTGGGTGAACAGCATGGATGTGCTGTTTTTGAGCTGTCTTGGGGTCCAGTTCCCATGCACATTATATTGGGGACTACAGCTATGTAGGTAGAATGGGAGGAGAAAAGGGAAAATAGATAGCATTGATTTTTTGCTTGTCATTCTGAGTTGCTGAGTCACCAGACTAATATTGGAGGATGTGGTGGCAGATGGACTCAATACAGAATATATTCATCAGAGCAGCCTTGCTACTCTGAAATTTAGTGCACAACCAAATGTAGCAAAGGAGGTTACCTTTTTTTTTTAAAGGTTTATTTATTTATACAAGAACTGGGGTACAGGCCAGAGGTGTGGGAGGGTGAGAGAATTCACTAGAGACAGCGCAGTGGGCGACACAGAAGAGGTCTGCCACACCATGTGGGGATCTCCCTGGCCAGCCGGGACTCGAACCCGCACTGCAGAGGCTGTGGACAGCTTCACAGCGCTGTGCTCAACCCGCTGCGTCACTGAGGAGGCCCCAGGAGGTTACCTTTTAAGGGAGTGTTATTGAGACTCTCCCTCTAATCTTGCTAATAATTCAATTTAGTTCAGCAATCTTAGTTCAGCATAGCCTATATTCCAGGTATTCACAGTTGAATAATCTATGGATCTTAGCTTTTAAGAAATGCTCACTAGTGGCACTCAAAACTACTAAGTAGTTTCAATGAAATGTGATTACTAAGAGATTTATCTGTAGGGTACTTTGGGAATAAGCAAGATGGGAACTTAACTTATGATGGGTGTTCAGGGAAAGTTTCTTAGAGGAGTTGTCTGATGAGGAGAGTCCATAAAGAGTGCCTCAGAAATCGCTTCTTGTTTTTGCTTTGAGTCTTGGATTTCTCTGAAACTTACTAGAAATCTTAGGAAAAGGTAGCCTGAACCAATTTTTGAGTCACCGTCTTAAACAGTAAGCATGGCTAACGTGTCTGAAAAATAGAAATTACTTGCAATTGATAAATAGATGAGAAAAAAAGCTTTTAAATTGAAGGGACATAGATGGAGAGTGTGGTAAAACAGGGGGAAACTTAGTGAGCAGAAAGCCTGAGAAATTCCCACAAAGCAGATGGGAGTTTCTTTAGCACGTTGACTGGAAAAGAAATTAGGGTGGGATACGTGTTGCCAGGGGTTTGCGGGATTACTAGCACCACGGACAGCGCCTCCACAGTAAGCGTGTCTGGGTGGTCCTCACCCACTCCACAATGAGAGAGAATCGCTGAAGAAGCGTCACACTTGATTTTCCAAAGCTTTTCTTCTTCTCTGAAATTCAAAGGAAACGCATGGAAGCTCAGTGGATTTCTTTACAAAGCCAGCCTGCTGAACGGTTTCCAGATGTTTATTGGATTATTTGATGTTCTCTGTGTAATGGATTTAAGTACCTTCTATATTAAAAGAACACAGAAGTTATACTTATTGTCTACTAGTTCCAAGTGATGTACAAATATTTCTTTTAACCCCCTTAAAGCCCCTATGCAACATACATTTATACCTCAATTTTACAGACAAGACAAAAGGATCAGAGAAGTTAAGTAACTTGCATAACAGCTAATTATCCTTGGAGATAGGGTTTTTGTTGTGTGACTTCAGGTTGTCTACCCTTTACATAGTGTTTTTAGCAACTTACATGGTAGGCTTAAGCAGGAAAAAAGCACCTAAATGAACTGGATTATAATTATTTTCCAGTCTACACTGTGTTTTCCAAATGGCTCATCTCACTGCACACCTTTAATTGACTTCAAAGGTGACATTTCACATGTAATACAATAGCACACTTGTCTTGTACAATGGAGTGAGATAATGAAACATTTTACTTCTCCCTGAAACCCAGCTGTCTCTAGGATGAAATACAACCTGTTGTTCATGCTTCAAACACATTTAAGAGATGAAGTGGAAGGGAACAAATACAATGGGCAGCTGAAATGTGGAACTATTGCCTAGATGTTTTACTAGTATGGACAATTTATAAGTAAGAAGAGAGTAAATAAATGGTAAATTGGCATGAAATCATGGATCTAGATAGAAGAGAATGAGTAGAATCAGTTCTAATATTACAAATAATGCAGATTTTTAGTGATAATGTTTATATTCTACTTGATGAAACTATATATGAACTCACTGTAAATGTGTGAGTAGAATCAATTGAATTGCCAATAGAAGTGGTGACATAACAGAACACACATTTGTGTGTTCTTTTGCATCCAGTTAGATCTAAGACAGTGTTTCTAATGAGGAGAGAAGGAAATTCTGAATCATTCTTGTGCATTTTCAAACTATATTTGGCATACCTCTCACCAGAAAGCTTGATTCTCTTCATTGTGTCAGTTGAGATTTATTGACCCAGGATTGACGGTATGTACCCATATAAGTTTCTTAAGTTTCATTGACTGATGAACCTATTCAATCTTTTAACATCTGTATTAATTTTTTTAAGCCATAACAAAATACCACAGAATAGGTGGCTTAAACAATAGAAATGTGTTTTTCTCACAGTTTTGGTTTCTCCTGAGGCACCTCTTTTAGGATCACAGATAGTTGTTCACCTGCTGCTTCCTCACATAGTTGTCCTGTCAGCATGTAAATCTCTGGTATCTGTTTTGTGTGTCCAAACACCATCTTCTTATATAGACACCAGCCAGACTGGATTAAAGCCCACCCCGACAGACTCTTTTTTAACTTACCCGCCTCTTTAAATGTCCTATCTTCAAGTGCGATCACATTCTGAGATATTGGAGGTTAAAGATTTATTTATTTATTTATTTATTTATTTATTTATTTATTTTTACTTCCTCTACTCATTGTTTTATTTATTTGTTATATATATATATTTATTACATCATCCATCATTTTTGTACAATGTATAATTTCCCTGTGAAAGTCCCACCACCAATTCACCTGTGCACCATCACCAGAGTCCCTTGTGCTCTTCCTTCCCCTGTCCTGATTCTTTTCCCTCCTCCTTCACTACAGAATGTCTCTGGTCTATGACTACCTGCTGATTTTGATTTTTACTTTATTATAGTTATTTTTTTTCCTGATCCCTTATTTGATTCCTCTACATTTGGAGGTTAAAAATTTAACATATGAGTTTGAGGGAGAAACAATTCAGTTCAATTTTTGTACATTTAACTTTTTAGTTTTTAAATTGTTATCAATAATTTATTTATTTGAGTGAGGATGAAAATAAGTTCAACACAAAACTGAAATTGGTTGAAATTGACACCCTTGTCTTTTAATCCATAGGGTTCCCTGTTTCTTTTTTTCCTTTTCCTTTCAATTTATTGTTGGAATTGGATTGTTCTGTTTTAATGAAGTTTGGACTTGGCAGAATGTTGATCATGATGACATATAACATTTTTTGCTGTCAGCCTATGTTTTTGTAATGTGTTATTTATATCTAGAGTCTGAATGTGATTCAAATTTTATATTTTGGCAAAAAAAACCCCACTGCATAAGTAATATTAAAATCTACCAAGAAGCACACAATTTGGCTGTCTCTTTTTCTACGGTTCTAGTGTCATTGCAATTATTTCTTAGATCTATTGTTTCTTTGGGGTTGCAAGTGGTAAT